CGGCAGCTCTGGCTCAATGGAATGCTGAAGGGTCTTGCGTACCCGGCCTGTGGGCACTGTCCTCTAGGCGGGGAGCCACCGAAAGTTCTTGAGCAGAGGAATGCTCAGGTGTGTGTTTGGAGAAGGTCCCTCTAGAGGCCCTCCTGGCAGATGGGGGATAGGAGTCAGGCTGTGGAAGCAGGATGGTGGGGGTGCAATTTCAGGGTGTGGGAAGATTCCCGATGAAGGGGTCAGGGGAACTGGAGGACCCCTGTTCCTGGCTGCAGGGGGAAGCGGGTGGCCAGTCTGTGAGCAGAGCCCAGCTGTGGATTCTGTCCATGAGGTCAGGCCTTGCCCTGTGGCTTCCTCAGGCCAGAGCCATGAGGGTCCCAGGGGAGCGTGTCCTGGCTCCGAGCCAGATGTGTTATTATTTATGTCTCTGAGAATGTCTGGATCTCAGAGCCGAATTACAATAAAAACATCTTTAAACTTATTTCCACCGCATTTTGGGGTTGCCAGCTCAACTGATCATTTTTATGAACTGTCATGAACATTGATGGCATTTTATGAGCCTTTTACTTGGGACACTACCTGATAAATTTGTCAGTGAGGCTCGAGGGAAACCCGGCCACGGTTCGCGCCCCTCCTTCCAGGAATGGCTCCCCCTGCCTGCAGCCCCCTTCTCCATCCACCTGGCCTCGGGAATGTGGGGTCCCTCACCAGCACTGACAGCTGGCAGCTGGGGTGCCCTGGGAGGAGGCCAGTGCTGGGGCTAGAATGAGGTTCTGAATCTCCCAAGGGGGAGATGTTAGCCAGCAGGGAGGGCGTGCTGGAGTCCCCGAAGGAGGAGGGCACAGCACGCCGGGGTAGACTAGAGCCTGTCGACCTCACCGTGGCGTCTGGTCAGAGTGGGTGGTGGTTCTGGAGCCCAGCAGCCACACTGGCCCCAGGCTGTCTGCATTTCTTCCGGCCTGTCCTTGGGTCCTTCTGCCTCTGCCTCTGCGGGCTCCCACAGAACACACGCTGGGCCACCACCATCTGTGTTCACTTGCTCCCATCCACTGGTCTCCACCCATCTGTCTGTCGGTCCTTCCATCCCTGTCCTCCTGTCTGGCTGGCTCTGCAGTGACCACCTGCCTTTTGGAGCCGGCAGGGCCCCAGGCCGTCCCCTTGAGCTAAAGAACCTGGAGTGGCAGATGCTCCCTGGAGCCAGTGTTTGCAGGCGGGGGCATGGCCTCTCTCTCCAGAGCCCCTGGGCTGCTGGGAAAATGGGCAAGTGCCGGACTGTGTGGTCGTCACTGAGGGCAGCGTGGGAAGCCCCTTCGTAGGGAGCAGGGTCACACCTGACAGGCTGCAGCACCCCCCACACCCTCTCCTTCCTGCACCTCCTGCCCTGGCTCTGACTGCCCCTCCTGGCTCCCCCACCTCCTGATCTGCGCCCCGGCCCACTCCAGACCCTCGGGCTTTCGTCCCTTGTACGCAGCAGGGAGCAGAGTGTGTTCTGTTTGAGGACCGTGCACTGGTGTCCCCTGGGCAGAGTTCCTGTGTCTTCACTCTGGGATGTCTAGGGTTTCTTCACATTTCTCTACCTAAAACTGGCATAATCTGCTCAGTGAGTGGCCAAGTGGCCGAAACAGGGTTTCAGGGGCTGGGCCAGGCCAGGCTTTGTTGGAACTTCAGGAGCAAACTCCGAGGCAGAGACCAGGGCTGGGGAGGGCAGGGGGCCTCCAGTTTCCCACCAGGTACCACTGCCAGGCCACAGCCCCTCCAAGCAGCTGTCAGGCCCTCCCTCACTCTACTTCTGGGCACCAGGCTCGGGGCTCACGGGCCAGCCCCCACCCTCCAGTGCCTCTGGGGAGCCAGTTCTCCTCCTACAGGCGTCTGTCCCGGGGACACCAGAGTATGGACCCCTGGGGAGAACCCCGTGGCAGCTGTGGCTGTTGGGACAGCCCTCGGCCCCCACCCCATGCTGAGGCCAGCAGTTCTCTCTTGACACCCCGGCATTGATTAGGATCATGGAGGGGATGAGGCTCGCTGCCGATTAATCCCATAAAGTACTTACTCCCACCCACCTGCCCTCCTGTGTGCCTGGGGGGCTTCCTTTCCCACTGGGAGCCGGTGGGGGTGGGGAGAGGCCGGCATCTGGGTCTCTGGAAAGCTTTAGAGCCCAGCCTGGGAGTCTTTGGTGCTGAAACTGATCTGCTTAGGGGCAGCCCTGGATTAGCCCAGCTCCAGCCTGCCCAGGTCAGGGGGGCCGGGGACTATTTAACCAGGTTTAGGGTCGGCTCCCAGGTCACAGCGCAGAGGCCCCGCCAGCGTCAGTGCAGCCAGGAGGCTGCCCCATTACAGGTGGGCAGGGACCACACTGCAGGGGTGCTGCTGAGGGGGTGTCTCGTGGTCCCAGAGCCCCTTCTCTGCTGACCTGGGGGGAGGCTCACAGAACCAGGAAGGGGTGGAGGGCAGTACTCCACACAGTTCCTCCCATTGCTCTCTGGGACCCCAGTGGATGTGGGATGCGGCTGAATTAGCAAGAAGAGGAGAAACAGGGAACAAAAGAGTTAAATGCATGCTGATTCCAAGCCCACACCTGCCTGGGGGACAGCGGGCTGTCGGCTCTGGTGCCTGCCATGTGGGTGCTCTGTGCGTGTGCGTGCTTGTGTGTGTGTGTGCGTGCCTGCCTGCACGCACGCGCATCTCAGCCGCAGGACTGTGGTCTGAGCCTCAGTTTCCTTATGTGCAGAAATTGAGGGCAGGGGATGGCTGCAAGTTCTCATCAAGATGGCCCTGAGGGGCTGGCAGCAGGCAGGTGGTGCTCTCCGGGGCCCTGTCCCAAAGGAGCAGACTGGCCCTGGGCAGGGAGTAAGATAACAGTGAGAGCCCCTCAGGAGGGGTGAAGGCAGAGCCAGCTGGGTGCGCCACACAGACCCTCCCCAGAGCAGCAGTGGGGTCCTGGGGCCGAGTTCTATGTCGCTTTGGCTTGCTCCGTGGGTGTGCACACGGTGGCGTCACGGGCTGCATGCAGAGGCGTGGGCACAGCAGTGCAGCGCTCAGAGGGTGTCCCCAGGCTCACTCCCCGTGCCCAGGCTGGGCTCCAGCTTCTCGCCGCTGCCCAGGGGTCAGCCTCTCCGGTCTTGTTCTGCTCCAGTGTCCACCGCAGCCGCCACCTCGTTATGCCCGAGCATCAGAGCCGCTGTGAATTCCAGAGAGGCAGCCTGGAGATTGGCCTGGGACCCACAGGTGAGGAGCCCAGGAGGCCTGAGGGAGGGGTCGGGGCTGTGGGCCCAGAGGACGGTAGCGGCTGCCGGCCAGCCTTGGCAGGGAGCCAGAGAGGCAGGAGGAGCAGCCTGTCCCCCGGGGCTGCATGTGATGGTAATTGTGTTAATCCCAGCCAGCCGGGCAGACAGGAGGCCGAGGCGGCGGCTCCACTGTGGCTGCCGCCGAAGCAGGGGCCTGCCACCCCCTCTTCACGGGGCAGACGCAGGCATGGCCTTAGAGGTTCAGAAATGCACCCCCCGCAGTGGCTTGGCTTACAGGGTGGAACGTGCTCACCCCCACTGGGGACTGCTCAGTGCAGGCCGGACTGGTCCTGCTTCCTGGGGTTCTGGGAGGGAAGGGGTCCCCAGAAGGAAGGGGTCTCCAGTCCCGCCTTCTAGGGTTCTGGGAGGAAAGGGGTCCCCGGAGGGAAGGGGTCCCTGGTCCCGCCTCCTAGGGTTCCAGGAGGGAAGTCTGCGCCTGAGGGAGGTGCTACTGCCTGGTCACAGTTGTTTTAGGGGGACAGGGGTCCTGACACAGGACCTCAGAGGGAGGGAGCAGTTTGGAGACCCAGGCCCCCCTCAGAGGCCACTGCTGTAGAGAGGGACACAGCCGAGCTTCAGCCCCGGGTGGGCTGTGAAAGGAGGGGGGCACTCCTGAAGTCCTGTGGACCCAGGCAGGGGTATTCCCAGCAGGGCTTGCAGCTCTTGGGAAGCTGCGGCAGGGGAGGCCTCCCTGGAACTCGGCACCCCCATCCGTGTCATCTGTGTCCCCCATCCGTGTCTTTGTGGGCCTGGGAAGGCCTTTGTGGGGCCAGGTGGGGGTGGCTTTTGCAGACGGCCGAGAGGTGGTTGATAAAATCTAATTGCTTCATCGATTGGCAGAGCGAGGGAGCCCCATAATGATTGAGACATTCTCAGCCAGCAGCCCCTCCCCGCGCGCTCACACAGGGAGCCTCCTCAGGTCCACGTGTGCGCGTGTGTGCACATCTGGGGTCCCGTGTGGTGCCCGTGAGGGGGGCTGCCGGCAGCGCTCTGGCCCGTGGGGCCCCCAGGCTCTGCAGCACCTTGCGTGTCCGGGGTCTCACACCCGGGTCTCACCCACACGCTCCGTGTCAGGGCCTGGCTTGCTCCCGGGAGCTTCCTCTTGGAGGAGGCGTTCACCCTGGGGGGCATTCACCTCTTCTCCCTTTCGGTGACCCCAGAAACCACAGGTCAATCCTGTTCCCTGCTCAGACCCTCCCCACCCACCAGGAAAGCGCCTCCCTGGGCCCAGGGCTGTGAGCGACTCAGAGCAGGTCCTTTGTCTGCCTCTGTGAGACCACCCGGGGTCCTCGAGTGAGGGAGTGAGGAGTGAGCGTGTCCTCTGCGGCCTTCCTGTGGTCTCTGGGCCGGCCCCTGCCCGCTCCGCCCCCTTCCGCCCGCTCCGCCCCCTTCCGCCCGCTCC